TCATGTGTTCTAGGTCTGACAACTTCAGTTTTGTCAATTTAACCTAACGAGATAGTTCAGGATTTAATTTTCCCCTGTCAGCTTTCTTCACTGTCCAGCTCTCACACCCATACATGGTGATCAGGAATAAGAGTATGGATGATCTTGGTCTTGGTCTCCAGTGACCAAGTTGTGTAATTCTTCCGTAGTCATGTTTTTTGTCTTCTTAATGTTCAACTACAGTCCTGCTTTGGTGCTTTCTTCTTTCCTTTTCACTAAAAGCTATTTCAAATCACTACTGCTTTCTGCCAGTAAGATGATATCATCCGCATATCTTAAATTATCAGTGTTTCTTCCATCAATTTTAATTCCTTCTTCCTCTGAATCTAGTCTGATTTTCACTATGATAAATTCTGCATACAGAATGAACACATAAAGGGATAAAATGTACCTTTGCATATACTGTAGTGTCTCTGTGTTCTATCCTAATGGTAGCTTCTTGTCCACAATAGAAGCTCCACAATAGGAAAATCAAGTGCTGATTTGTTTACTGAGAGGTAAATTCATGGTTCTCTTGAATTTTTCAAAATATGTGTTGAAAATGTTAATTGGTTCTTTCTGACCACCAGTGGAATTTAGATTTCCTTAAGAGTTTCTCTAACCTGCAATAACTAAACAGTGCCAGAAAACAAAGGAACCTGATATATTTTCACTTCACCATTTGAACATTCATAGCTGTAATTTGAAAGTTGTCTTCATGTGGACAGCAGCAGAAAAATCTGATGAAGCAGGTCTGTGTCAGGGGATATTTAAGGTGCCAGAAGACAATTTTTTGTGTTCATATTTTGTTTCAGGTCAATTGCATTTTTGCCAGGGAGGCTAAGAAAGGGGTGTGTGTGGAACTAAGACATTGAAGGAAATCTTGAAGTTCACTGGGACCAGAGTAAGTGTCTTCACCTGAATAGAACTCTGGCAACTTTCTGACAGCCAAAAATCATTTGGCTGGTGGTCTTTGATCTTCTGCTGGGTCTCCTTCTGTCTTAACTCTGGAGATTCTGTGGAGAGTAATGTGAGACAGTGGACAAGGCAGAGTTTTTGGATAGGTCTGAAGAGATATCCAGTGAAACATCTCTGCAATTGATCTCCACAGGCTGCTATTGATCTGCTGTACATTCTTCAACATCTTCTGTGAGGTTTTCTGCAAACTCTCAGCCTGATTCCTTTGATGTCTCTCCGTGGTCTGGATTGAATCCTGAAACCATCTACCTAAAAATGGATGTCCCAGTGGGTGCTTTTCTGATCTCCTCACTAAAATTCCTCATTGAAAAGAAATCTTACAGTTTGAGGAGAGCACCATAGACCATTTCAGACATTCACTGAACCCACAAAATGTAGCAGGATGATTGGATGGCACTGTTTTTCTCTTCTCCTTGGTTGGCTGGCTGCTCCTTGTATTGATGTGACTGGAATCTATGCAGGTACAAGGTGTATAGATCTGGATTCTGTTGGGATCTTCAGATTAATACATGGAGAGTGGAAAGAAGGACAGTGGGTAAGAAGCCTGGTGTTCCTCCATGCATTTCACTAAATACTGTATTTTCAAATATATTTTGCCTTTAGATGTACAAAGGTATTAACATTGTTTCCAAGAGTTATGATGGTGTGTAAGAAATGTTAATCATGATAAATAGAGACACCCCCAAATAATCTGACCACACATGATGTACAGAAAAAGATGAAAGGTTAACCTTGGTTTCCTTTAGTGGATTAGATGTTGAAAAATTAAGATAAACCCTGATGCATTCACATAAAGGATACAAGTGCTATCTCAAGAGCACTTGTCAAGAAGTCTGTATCTGAATTAGACCTTTTCTTCCTAATCATATTTACTTGTAAGTATGTTTCACTTGGTTCAATAGGTCTAAATTCTCCAAATTGCAATCTTATACATGCTTTCTTGGGAATATGTTCAAATGAACAAAGTGTGACTTCTGAGTATACCTTTTGGTTTCAAGATACATTCACAATATACATTATCACAAATCATTCAAACAAAATAAGACCATATGTCCTCTGGACAGGATCCATAAACTATTAACGTAAATGAGAAGATTAACATTGGTTTACTGCAATACAGTTCTGGACTTATAATTTCAGACAATACAGGTCTGTAATTGTACTTAAGTTTTATGTCAGATTTTTAAAAACAAAACTTCATTGCCTGACTTTGAATGATTCAAAAATTAAATGCAAATTTATTTAGCCTTGCAAAAACACCCTGAAGGTTCCTTTCTGAAGCTCTAGAAAAAATATATATAGCTAAGAGATTATTTTAGGTGCTAAACAGTTTACAGTTTCAAATTATCCAGTTGTTTTATAACAGACTGGTCATAAAAGACATCCAAGCATTTTTCACTTCTTCTGAGTCTTGTCAATCCAATTAGGCACAGGCAAACTTTAAAAGATATCCATGTTGCAGTTATAAAATGTAAACAACTGTAGACTGGGAAATTTTTAGAGTAATATATTTGATCATGATTGCATAGGATCCAGAAGCTGTGCTAAAAAAAATTAAAGATATATCTGAATTGGAAATAAATGTCATTTGTGGCCTTGGTTGAGCTGTGATCTAGTTGTAAGAACGCTGTGACATATCCAGGCTTGCGTTCATCCAATATCAAGTCACATGACAATATTTGGAAAAAAAAACCCGATGGACTTTCGAGCACAATTTCTAATATGCTATGAAAATCTGCTGTTCAAGGCAATGAAAAAAATTGTTGAAATTCCCACCAGGCATTCTCAAGTTCTTGCCGTACTCTAAAGTAGCTTTTTGGATCCTGGCCCATGTTTCTCTTTTGAATTAGACCAAACAACAATGTGCGACATTAGAAACTTTTTTTTTTTTTTGGTCAGAAATAAAAGCAAGTAAGAGAGAAATGAATAGTTTTCTGGAATAAACAAAACAGAAAACTTGGTGGCTTGAGGAAAAACGTTTTTTGGTGTGAAAACTCAAAACAAAAATCTTCTTTTTTAAAAGTGAAACATGAGAGAATTATGTTACCAGATGTCAAGGGCGAAGACATTTATCTGTCTTTACTCTCCATTTCTGCCTCAGAATCCTGATATTTCCACTTGGGAACCATCATAAATCTGTCAGGATTCTGTACCGGCACAGGGCCAGTTTTCTTGCTTGGCCTTGGACTTCTGGCAGCTGGCTTACAGAATTAAAATGCTGTTGATTTTTTTTAAAATGGTTTGTTTGTTCTGTTGTGTTCAGTGCCAGCAACATCTACTCTTTAATACTCTTTAATATTTCACAGCACTGAACTAATTTTCTTCCGGGAATGTTATTGCATTTTGCATAAGGGCAGGGGTGGGGTGCTGGGGGTGGAGGGAAAAGATAGCTATGAACAACGCTGAATATAAAAGTACACAATATGCCTCATTCCTTTGTTTGAGAGGATGCCTTTGCAAATGTTGAGGAGAAACAGAAATGCCTGTTGCGATTCCTGTGCCTCAGGAAAGGTTTGTGTGTGTGTATTTCTTTGTATCAGCAAAGACTAAAGTCCAGTTATTAGAGCCATCCTTTACCTTAGAAGTCTAATAGAAAATGGGAAAATATAATTTCATTGCTGTTTTCCTGTGTCACAGTGTGCTTTTAGTACAGCATTTCTTTCCCAGTTAGTGATAAATTAGTTCTAAATAGAAGGAATGAAAATGACAATTTGGTGAATTGTGCAATTTAATGCACACATATTTGATGAGTTCTATCAGACAAGGTGGGGCATCCACACTCTGGCATTCCCCCATGGCCTTACCTACACAATCACACAGGACACAATGGGAGCTTTGTCAGGCCCTGTACTGCTCCTGGGTTTATGGAAGGCTCACTGCAAATCCACAGGGAGTTTTCTTCCCACACCCAGGCCCACAGGTGCTTGGTTTTGTGCCACAAGATGGCTTACTTGTCATGATAGTGGTGTTGCAAACCTGGCCTTGCTTTGAGCTGTATGATGCGCCCAAGTGCATACATCATCTGGATCTCTGCACAGCTCCCTCATCCCACTCCTAACCTTTTGGTGCAGAACACACACCCAGCACTTTCATGCTTAGCCAGTGACCTTGACATAACCTAGGAATAGGTGGAGTTGGATGCCCAGGCTTTAAAGTAATCTCTCTCTCTCTCTCTCTCTCTCTCATATACTGTAGGCACACTGTCTTGTGTCAAAACACTGGAACACTTACACATCGCCCAAGTTTGGAAAAAAATTTCTTTTTTGGACAACCTCGTCCCAATTGACCTGTAGGCACACTGTCTTGTGTCAAAACACAAGTTTGGGAAAAAAAAATCTTTTTTGGACAACCTCGTCCCAATTGATCATGCTACCTGGTAGAGTCTGGTAGCTGTAGTCTGAAACATAACTTTTTCATAACCTTTTCATTGCCTATCTCATATAAATTCATCTCAAGGATTTTAGATGTCTAAATGCTGAATTTGTCTCTTATCCTTGAGGAGAAAGATTTTTTTCTTGACATGTAGGTTCTGATTTCTTTTTAATTGGAAAAAAACATATTTTGAAAGAAAATTGAGGATAGAGTGACCAAAAGAAAGAGTACCAAATGCTAAGAGGAAAGGGGGAAATGATTAACACTGCTTAGTATCTCAGGAGTGGGCTTCAGAAAATCTGTTCTGAAGGAGACCAGCTCAGTTCTTTCACAGATCTTGCAATATCTGCAACCTTCATTTTTGTAATTAACTAGTTTTGGTTTTTTTTAGTAACATTCTGTCATATGTTTATTTTAAGTCTTGTCTAATTGTATCAATCAGTTCTTTAACTTCTAAGCACCAAAAGCATAAGAAACTCATGCTGAAGAACATTTCAGAACTAAATTGCTTGAGCGATAAATGGAAAAGGCACACAGAACAGTTCATTTATTTTCTACTTACCAATTCTGTATTGTCCTTTGTGACTGAATAAGTATAGGAGTATGGGTAGAGCAGTAACTGGGAATAAGAGTGTATGGTCAAGTAAGCTTTGATAGTTGAGAGGTTTTGACGAATGAAATCAGCCAAGGCCTTGGTCTCTCTCTCTGATTCTGGTGCACTACCACAGTAAGTGTCATCGCATGGTCTGTTTGAAGCACCTATAGCTGTGCGAAGTAGGGAGGGGAAGAAGGAATGGTTAGAATGATGAGCCTAGTTCACATTCGAATGTAGTATCTTCATGTGTCTCAAGAGTACCAATCACTTAGAAGATGGCTGGAGAGCTCAGTGGCTTAGGTATCCGGCTGTGCAGCCAGAGGTTGGGAGTCTTGATTCCCCATGATGCCTCTGGAGAGAAGAGCCAGTCTGTGTAGTCAAGGGCAAGCTGCACAGCTCCAGGGTGCTCCCAGAGGAAGGGAATGGTAAGCCACTTATGAGTACTCTCTCCCGGAAAATCCCTGGAAAGGGTTGCTGTTTTAATTAGAATTGTCTTGACAACACACAACAAATTATTATTATTATT